TATGAAGCTGTACAACAAATTTAACAAATTCTTCTTTACACATTTTGTCCCGACCTCTTTGCCATAGGAATCATGAGAATTGACAGATGGGTAGAGGAGAGAGAGAGAGAGAGAGAGAACTCTATTTCATTTGAGCAGCGACCAAGAATGTGACACATTGGTCAAGTTTCAAACTGGCTTTGGGGCCACTTTGCAGTCCTTCGTCACATGGTGATGGAGATAACATAACATCCCTAGAAGAAAGGGCCATTTTAATCACAAAATTAACCTCTTGATCTCTCTCCATCCAAATGATCTGAATATCCTCTTCTCTTATGCTGTGTTTGGTTGAAAAATTTAGAGAGGGATTTGGAAAGAAAAATAAAAAAGGTACGTGAAATGTGAATAAAACATGCCTACATTTCACCTAGTTTCATACACTTTTTTCCTTTTCCTTTTCAAATTCCTCCTAAAATCTCCCAACCAAACATAGTATTAAAGTAGTTTAAAAAATATACCACACTGAATGACAAGACACGTGGCAACATTTTCAAGCAAAGTAGCTAAACAGATAACTGGGCTCCATAGTTGGTGCGACAACCAAACCCTAACAATGGTTAAATGAGATCACATTGAGTAGGAATGTGTTTATCCTTACTTGGGATGTAGAACGTGATCCCATTAGAAGCCGAATAAAAGTGAAATTAAAATCTCTCAACCATAATGCACACTCAACTACATGCAAGTGGTGAACTCGGCAAACTAAATATACACCATCTAGCATTCTATCTGACTTTCTTAGTGAGAGTTAGAGCATTTGATTGATTCAGGCATCAAATAAATCTCACTTCTATCTTTTGTTTGAAGATTACTTTTGGTGAGCGTTCATATTTTCCAACGACTATCCACACAGGAGATATTGAATAATTTCTTAGATGGAGGACACTTATCATGAGGGCATTACACCCCAACTGTACCCGAGGAGTTATGCTAGTGAAAAGGTGCCGTATATTTGGTGGTTGGGACATAATGTATCACCCACAAACAAGATTTTTTTATGTAACTCGTATGAAATTTTTATCTCCATTCAATTTTTTAAGTTTGCAACAAATGATAAAGCATCATATGTTATTTTTTCTGCAATAATTTTTTTGTGCGTTAATAAAAATATATATAATTCAATAATTCTAGTTTTAAAAGGATGTAAATTCATATTTTAATATGTAGTATATTTGTTTTTGAAGCACACTGATATAATTTTGATTATTGATTTTTTTATTTTAATAACAAGATCATTACAAAGAAATCCAAAACAAATAGCTCTTCCAATTATCAAAAGTTTGCATCGGGCTATAACTACCCACATCATTATAAATTTAAAATTTCATTTAGCCGCATTTTTTATTTAAATTTAAAAATTCTTAATGTGAATCTTTTTTAATCATTGATAAAAAAAAATGTCCAATTAGTTAACAATAATGTGTGTTTGAGAGAAAAAATATTGGGTAAATATCTAACTTTTGGCAGAGTGCACAAAATAGTTGTCCCGTGACTTGAACTCATAATTTTAAGATTATTATGCGAAAATTTTATCATTGAACCAATGATCACCCTCACATCATTGATCATGAAGTAAAAATCTTCATACCAACCATAAAATAAAATAGATTTGAATTTGTTTTATTTAATCTTTTTAATTCAAATTCAAATTTATAATTTAAACATACCACCCTCACATCATTTTGAATTAACGCTTTCTGCTTTTTGGGTATAAAAAATGAGGCCTTGTTTGGTTTCATTCCTTGCAAAAAATTTCAAAATTTTTTTTAAAAAAATACAAATTAGTTTGACAAAAATAAATATCAAAAAAATATTTTTAAATTTTTCAAAATTATTTTTGGTTCTAAAAATATAAAATTATATAAAAATGATAAGTGTTTTTTTATATTTTTTTAATGAAACTAATTTCAATTTTTTGGAAAAAAAAAATTTGAAATAATATTTTTGAAATCCAAACCAAACATGGCCTGAATCATTTTTCTATAGTCATGTAGCATGGAGCTGTGCCACGTGCACGGAAATCGTTTACAAAATAATTTTCGAACAAGATGTTAGACCATCTCCAACATTGCATCAAATTCATCACCAAATTTAAATTTGGTGAAAAAGTCTATTTTTTTGTGCTCCGATTCATTAAACCTGTATCAAATTGAGAACATAACAAATATTTCACCAAACTGAGGATGCTTTGTGCCTTTCATTAAATCACTGTTTATAACCGTTGTATTTTCACCACCGGATGTCCCTTCGGATGTTCTCCTGGATGACTATCTCAAGGCAAAATTTTGTGAAAATTTTACATTGGATAGTCGACTTCCCGGATGACCTCTCAATCTAACTTTTAATTGAAAATGTGAGGAAAAAGTATTAAGAGTCGATTATTTTGCTGATGCATTCAACTACAAATATAGTTATCAAAATTTCCAATGAATACATTATTGTTGATCCCACCTAACTATACTTACGTCAATGGTGTTACCATATTGTTGATAGACCAATCCATGGTTGTGTGCTAGTTCCAAAGGCATAGCATTTTTCTCATCATCGTAGAGTATTTTCATTGAAGATATTGCACGTGCAACTGTAAGTTTTTTAAACTCCCCTCCTTAAAACACACTTTTTTTCATTTGCTCTTACTGGATGATCGGCCGGTCTTCCCTTAGACAACTTGTGTTTTAATGACAGTTATAAATTCATCGTTGGAGTGACTGATATCAGATAGAGGAATTTGTATTTTTTACTCAGATTTGATGAAATATTTGGCGAACTGTTGAAGATGCCCTTAGAAAGTGAAAAAAAAATCTTGGAAGCAGGCTCGACCTTGAGATTTTCGGGGCCCAAAATCGATAATCAATTAATAAATATCACTAGATCATTTAGGGCCGTTCACATATTTTTTTTTCATTGGGTCAAACTTGTCTCAGTTTAAGATCAAGACTGGACCTGTCCAGTCCGGCCCATGGGCCCATGTTGGGCCCTGTTTAGATAATCCGAACCGTGTGTCAAACTCGTCGAGTACTATATCCCTGTAAAACATCACATTGATTGAATATCGGTAACTATTTGATCGGATCAAAATTCTATCAACCGTTTATTTTTTCACTGTTCGTTTTTTTTAAAATACAAATCTGATCCGATCAAATAGCTATTGATTTCCGATCAACGTGATTTTTTTACAGAAATATAGTACTTGACAAATTCAACATATTACAGGTTCGGATTATCGAAACGGCACCAAAAAATTGGCCCATGAGCCGGACTGGACGGGTCCAGTCTTGATCTCAACAGGAGATAAGCTGGATTCTTTTTCATTCAACGAATTTTTTTTAAAAGGTAAAGGACAAAAGATTTGTGTCAAAATCACCAAACTACTTAGCATTACATTATAATAACTAATAAGTATTACTTGATCCTTGCTCTTCTTGTATTTTTAGGATTAGGAATTAGGGTTAGAAAAATTGAATTAAGAGTTAGGGTTATGAATTAAATAAGGAAAGAGAATGTGCCCTTTGAATTTTGAATGGATCTTTTAATTTTTTAATAGGTTAATTTATTTTAAAGAGTCATGCTATGTCGCCAGAAAATATAGGGCCCGAATAGTCCGATTTTTTTTTCTTTTGTTTTTCCTTTCTCTTCCTTGCCCTTCTCTCTCAAACACACAACACACAACAGTTTCAGAAGAAGAAAAAAGAAGAGGAAGAAAATCAACATCATCATCTTCAACAACATCAACACAGAGAGAGAGGAATCAACATCATCATCAACACATCATCATCATCAACAATTTTTTTTTCCAGATCTGCTAGAAAAAAAAAAAAAAGAAGTAGAGAAAACAGTCGACCAACTAGTCGATTGATGATACCCAATCAACATCAACAATAACAACAACATCAACATGTATTAATATGATGACGACACATAGAAAAACAAACGATTATATATATATATATATCAATTTCAAGAAGGGAAAAAAAAAAGAAAAAAAATTTTTTTGCGAAAATGACGTCGTTTTGGCATTCGGGGGTTTCGAGCCGTTGCAATTTCGAGCTCTCACGTATTTTCCTATTTTAAATTAGTTTGAACATTTTTTAATTTTTTTAAACTTAAAACATATCTAATATATTATATTAGACTATAATAGAAGGGTCTTATTTTTAAATATATTTTAAAGGGATCCTAAGTCATAACCTAATGTGCCTGTGTCCAGGACCGACCTTGCTTGGAAGCACCGATTGAACACCGTTTAATCTACCCTAATGACATAAAAATGATCATATAAAAGGATAGACCCACACTCCACATATCTCCTCTCTCTATCTCTCTTCCATCTAATTGGGGATCAAAACAGTGGTTACTATGGAGATGTAGCATAATTGTTTTGTTTGTGTAAATAAGTTTACTATGTGGCATAGTATGGCATATATAACATGGATTAACATAGATTTTGTTTTGTGTTATTGGGATTGAGAGAGAGAGAGAGAGAGAGAGAGAGAGAGAGTAAGGGGGTTTTTTGCAGGAGGAAGAAAAGAAAAGAATAAGAAAAGAAAAGAGTGGGCTGTGAAGGGGGGGTTTGAGTTGTAAAGTGTTGCATTACTGGGTTTGGGAGTTGTTGAAAGACAGTGAAGAAAAGCCTGCTTCAGAATCTGAGTCCCAAACATGGCAAAGCAGAGGAAGCGACGATCTGCTTAGATTCACTCACACCCCTCAAACCCCAATCCCAAACCCCTACCCTCTCTCTCTCTCTCTCTCCTACCCATCTTTCTGAACACCGACACACCCACTCCTACTTCACTCACTCATAACCTCTGCAAAGTAAGAAAGAGAAGAGACTCTGACTGAGAGAGAGATATAGAGGGATCAAATTCCATGGAGAATGTTTGGTGCAACAGTAGTTGTTGCATGGGATGTTGGAAATCAGATTCCAAAGTGGGATTAGTCTAAAGAAGATGCCCTTACATTTGATCAAAGCAAAAGAAGAGAATCACATTGACATTTCAAAAAACAAGAGTCTTTTTGTCTTCTGCATTTTGGAGGTTTCACTTGTTTAAATTTGTGTTGATGGAGTGGAAGACACAAAGATTATGGTTTATGAAGAAAAATCCTCTGTTTTACTCTCTCTTCTCCATCTCCATCTTCTTCTCCTTCTCTGCTTTGGCGCTTCTGGGCACTATCAGTACCCAAACAACTCCTTGTTTAGGTAAGCAATTCTCTCTCTCTCTCTCTCTCTCTCTCTCTCTCACACACACACACACACACACACGCAATCAGATTTGTTTAATTTGCGTGATGTTTGCTAAGACTTAATTTTTTTAAGTCAAATATCGATGGTTAAAACTCTTTGTTGTGGTGCAGATCATATAAGGTGTGGAATGACTAGTACTCAACCAGACTTTTACATTCAGGTGGGTGAGTTTCTACTCTATTTTAACACTTCAGTTTCTTGGTTTCTCTCATGTTGATCACAGAAACAAACATGAATGCATATTAATATGCATCAGGCTCAAAACATGAATTCCACCATCTTTATTTTTATTTTTAAATTATCAGCATTTGAGTTTCATCATTCATCTAATATTTGTTTAGTTAATTTATTTGTTAATATATTTAAAATTATTGTTTACTTGTATAATGGTTGATGTTTACATAACTTGAAAATTACAGTTTTAATCGACAAAAAATTAAATGATATTCATTAAAAAAATTATGCAGAATCTAGCTTCTTCTTTTTTTTTTGAATTTCAACAGTATTAAGGGTGGTTTGGAGTGTATTTTTTTTAGTAAATTTTTTATTTTTTGATTTTTTTTTTGAATTTCAAAAAACCTAATTTGTTTGGAAATTACAAATTTTTTTTTTGGGATGTAATAGCTAAATTTTTTAACTGATAAGAAATATTTTAATGACTTTTTAATTTTTATAATATAATATCTGATTTTTATTGATGGTTTGGGTGTCACATTTTTTTTTATTTTTTTGTTCATATAGACGAATATAAAAATTTAAAAATTCTAAAAGCCCTTACTTTTTGACTTATTTTTATCTTTTTTAATTTTTTTTGAATTTTTAATTTCTTCTCATCTGAGAAACTTAATTTTTTTTAAATTTTTTTAAAAAAAATCACTAAAAAAATAAATAAATAGTCACGAAACAAATCCAAATAGTAAAGAATTTCATAAAACCCTGGTATATTTTTATGTCCTTAGTATTTAGGATTAATGGGCCTGGGACAGGTGGCTTTAGGGCCGTCAGATGCATGTAAACACACAAATCAGAAGGGTACTACCCACACGTCTTTTCGTCAGACCATTTTGACAGTCCAGTGCAGTGGCCCGTTCCAGAAATCATGTGGTGGGAATGATATCATTTGATCCAGTTATCTCAACACAATCACACAACGCCACCATCTTGCTTTTTTTTTTTTTTTTCTTAAATTATTTGTTATCAAATGAAATATAAAAATTTAAAATAATTTATATTCATATCAAAACAAAACAAAAATTACATATTAAATTTATTTAAAATTATATTTTAATTAGTAAAAATATTTTAAAAATTAAAATTAAAATATATAATTTTGAAATTCACATTTAATAATTTTTGAAAGGGGGGTACTATTTTATTTTTAAAATAAAATATTATTGTATTAGTTTTTTTTAAATTTTTTACTAATTAAAAGATATTTAAAATTTTTAACTCTAAAAATATATTATTTTTAAGTTCTTAATTTTCATACTAAGCAAATAATTTGTATTAATATTAGAGCAGATTTCACTTTAACCCATAGTAGTTTGTCTCATGCATGGTTTATCCCCCTTTCATTTGAAAATAATAATTTAACTCTTTTTGTGTTGGTGAACTGAAGTGCATTATTAAACTTGTTAATGATTAATGAAAAAGACTAAATTATCTGTATATAAGTAACTTAAATGTGTAAATTACAGTTGTTTTTATCATTTGTTTAGAGAAAAAATGTACTTTAGCCTCATGTGTTTCATTCTGTGTTATTTATCCATTTAAGGCTTTGTTTGTCATAATCTAAAAAAATTAAAAAATTAAAAAATTAAAAAGTCACTATCCTATTTAAGTCACACCACCTCTCTACCATATCACTTTAAACCTAACCCATATTTCATAAAAAGTCAAAAAGTACATTTATTTAGATCATTCAAAACCATTTCTAAAATTTAAAAATGAGTGTACGTATATATCGTTATGTGTAACATGTATTTTATGCTTGCTGTTAAATTAGATGAAATGTTTAACGATGTAATTCAATTTACAAATTACAAATTATGTGATTATTTTCAAATGAGAGTGTAATCTCAACATAGATGAAATGTAAAAGAAAAATTACAAATAAGTACTATTTCTATAAAATATTTGTACATTCATGAAAAATTTATAACTTTAATTATTGAAATTGATAATTTTTCTCACATATTTATAATTTTTTTTTTTATAAAACTGACGGTGAAGTGCAAATTTTCAAACTAAAATAGTGTAAAGTGAAATTTATTATCATTTTTGTCGTCTTTGATACGAGTCTTCTTGACCAGCGCGTTAACCGGAAACCATGTTCCATTCAGTCCAGTCTTGTCCCCCGTGAACTTCCCTTGGCACTTGTGGCGCACGTTAACCTCATATGTACGCCATATACTAACATAAGCTGACAGCAGCTCTTTTTGCACTATGCAAAAATGGAAAATTACTATTCCAACAGAAATTTCATGCTCCTAGGTAATTTTCTACAAATGATGGGGTGATGATATTTTGGCAAAATTACAATTCATTAGTATTTCTAGATAATAATTAGAGATTTGTAAAAAGAATTAAGATTTTAATTATTATTATTTATAAAATTATCAGTGATCTACAAATTTTCTATTAAATTTACAGTGTATTGTAATTTCCTCTCAAACTATTGTAATAAAATTTCATTTTAGTAGACACTTATATCTTAATGTAGCTATATTATATAGATACAATTTTGTATATTTTTCTATTTGTATATTATTATTATAGAAAAAGGTATGCCTTCTCTTTCTGCCCAAAAAAAAAAAAAAAAAATCAAGTTAATTGAATATATAAAATCATATAATTAGATTACATTTGTTTATAAAAATGGATTTAAGTATTATTTTGAGAATAGATTGTATATTTTTTTAAGTTGAATATATTTTGAACATATGGCTATTAAAATTCAATCAACGATTTTTTGAATGAATAAAATATTTGTTGAATCTCATAAAAAAAGCGGTTTAGATTATTGAAATAGAACCACTAAGTATGGACAACATTTGACTGGAAAGAAGTTTAACCCAAAAAAAAAATATATATATTGTGTTTGAGAAGCCGTTTGTGTTAATGCATGCATGGATTATTGGGGGTACTAATTTGCTATGGTACGTACAGGAATTTGAGATGTTCACAGACAAAATGAAGGGTGAAGAGTTGATAATGTCCAAAGGCCACAAGAGGGAGGAGGTCTCACTGAGTTTGGGTAGAACAAGGAGACTATTGAGCGGGCCCGGATCATCGCCGCCACGGTGTGCATCAAAGTGCGGGAAGTGCACGCCGTGCAAGCCGGTTCACGTGCCGGTGCCACCAGGGACTCCGGTGACGGCGGAGTACTACCCGGAGGCTTGGAGGTGCAAATGTGGCAACAAGTTGTATATGCCCTAGTGCTTCTTAAATATTATTTTATGAATATTTTCTCATTTACTTTACTATATATATATCATTTTTAATTACTAGTATATTGAAGACACTTTTGTTGTCCCCTTTTTAGAGGGATTGGATATTGAAGAGAACACAGGAGAGAGAGAGGGAGAGCATAGAGCTTGGTTTATGTAAAAACAAAAAAACGAAAAAAAAAGAGTATGTTAATATTATTAGATAAGGTTATTAACGTCTATGTTGTACAGTGTGGGGATTAGTACTTGGTAAATGTTTCTAACATCTACTTATAGATAAAAAAAAAAAAAAATCTTTTAATTTTTCATGCAAAAATTTCATAAAAATCAAATGATGTGATGGTCTTTATCTATTGAGGGTTTTGGAATTATATTATTACTTTGTTACCAACTTATGTGGTCCTAGATTCGATGCCCAGCATTGTGTCAACTGCGTAGCATGTGTTGGGCTTATTAAAAATGTATAATTTATTTTAGCTTATTAATAAGTGTTTTCAAGATAACTTTTAATAAAATTATTTGATATATACATCGTATTATTAGTTGGATTCCTATTAAGAAAATTTTAAAGTTTTTTTTTTTTTTTTAATTTTTATTTTTCCCCTTTAAGTAGCTTGCGTATTTACAATTAGCTAAACACTATAGGTCACAGGTGATACTTGTAACCAACTAATTTAATACTGTTTAACAAATAAATTTCCATTAATTAATTTTTAAAAAAATTCTTGTGAATGGAAATTTGAGCCCAGCCCAAAACCCAATTCCTACCAGTCCACAAGCAGGGAAAAAATCCCAAACGCATCTGACAACAGCCTGCCACCCAACAAAAGACATATGGAAAAATAGAAGCGATAATGTTAGGTGGCTCGAATTTTCTTGGCTCGAATGTTTTAAAATGACATCATTTAGGTATAAAACGACGTTGTTTTGACACATTCGAACTATTCGACCACACAAATTCGAACCACCAATTTTTCAAATAAAAGATAGTCTTCTACAAGACAAATTAGTGACGTAAAGAGGAACGTTGGATTAAGTATCATTTAACTGTGGGAACATAAAATTGACATGACATGACTATAGTATAGACTAAGGTCTCGTTTGGCAAGTGCCTTTTTAATCAAAAAGTTAAAAAGTTACTAAAAAAATTAAAAAGCCAACAACTTAAACAAAAAAATCAAAGATTCCATTTTCTCTCTACTTTTTACACATTTTTTCGTAAAAAGTCAAAAAGTCATTCCAAACATACTAGTTTTTTTTACATCACATTTTAATCGAAAAGTCAAAAAATTACTAAAAAAACATGTTCCCAAATGGGGCCTAAGACTATGAAACAACTGGACTATTCAATCAAATTAATCCTACAGGCACGATGCGAAGCAAGTTAGCCACTTCTACCTGACATCATCGAGACCATCCAAACGCCGAAGATCTAATGATTAATAATATAAAGTAAGTTGGCAAGTTACTCGACCAAGACTATATAACATAGAACCCTTCTATCAAAATAAGGATCCAATAGAAGAGGTTTGAGATAGAATAGCTATAAATAGACAAACAGACACGGTACAAAAAAGAAAGGAAAAAGAAATGCTATCTAAACTAAGCATATGCAAAAATCTCACTTCAATAAACATATTTATTTTTTTATAAAAATTAATCATGACTGATTAATATGCTGTCTTAATCGTAGTAGGATCTTTCTTGCCAACCCAAGTCAGGAACGATCACTGATTAGTGATTTCTCTTTACAAAATGTAAAGAATTGAATATATCATTTCACATTTTTTACCTTCCACAATTCTATAATAATAATAATAATAATAAAAAAAAAAAAGATTGATACGATTTTCAATGCAGACAGCAATAGAATCTACAGCTTGAAAGGGCTGGGATTGCAGCAATAGTTGGGTAGAGAGATATTCTTTAATATTGGTCATGTCTTTTCATATAATATACGTATTTTTTTGTTTATTTTTTATTTGAGTTAAAAAATGAAGAATGATAGCATAAAAACAAATTTGGTAGTACCAGAGTATGGTACTCGGTCCCTCTTGTATCATGGTACAGTTATTTAATAACAATATAAAGAGGACAAACAAGAATCAAACATTGTGATCCTTCATCTTATTTGACTTTTTTAAGTCTCGTTTGGCAAATGTTTATTTTAATTTAAAAATTAAAAAATTATTAAAAAAATTAAAAAGTCTTTATAAAAAGCCTTTAACTTGTATCAAAAAGTCAAAAATTTACTTTTCTTTTTACTTTTTGCATATTTTTTTTTTTGTATAAAACCAAAAATCATTCTAAACATACTAGTTTTTTTTACCCCATATTTTAGCTAAAAATCCAAAAATTACTAAAATAGCTTATTTCCAAACGAGGCCTAAGTTATGTTTAGAATATAAATTTTGATGAAAAAAATATATAAAAAAAATTAACATATTTATTCATATTTTCTTTACTATTTTTATTTATTTATTTTCTTTTTAAATTTCTATTTAAATCCATAATGAAGACACCATTTAAGTTTATCCATACGTTCTCAAAATAATTTATTTCTTGTAAGAGGAGCTAATTTAAGCCCACTAAATTATTTAGGCCCAATAGCCCAAGATTAGTGGGCCCGAATTTATCGCAAGTCCAAGATTGGTGGGCTTGGATTTATCGCCGTCAAACGGGCTGAATGGCTCTAAGCCTCGAAAGGGTTCGGATCCACGGAACCCTCTCCTACATTTCTTTACAAAACTGTTTTCATACATTCCATTACATTATTGCAATTACGAATAAGATTACTAGTTTTGTGGTATTATCTCAAAGAATTGGTAGCAATAGTTACAGTTTCAATTCGAACAATTTAAACTCCATTATTTTTAATTTTATTATAATGTGGTTTATTAGTTATTTATTGTTAAAGTTTTGAATATAAAAGAATTGAAAAATATTATTTATATTTTTTCTCTCTCTAGAGATATAAGTGAGTAGGTTTCACATACATTTATGAAATGGGATTATGCATAGTATGGCTAAAAAAAATTAGGTGCAGAACTAAAAAGACCAATGTGGAGTGTTTTTTTCTTTTCTTTTTTTTGGTTCAAAATATTAACAGTGCATGACAAATAGATAAATATTGTAACAAAATTAAAAGTATAAAATTTAAATAATTCAAATTAAAACTACGAGAAATAAGATAACATTTTGCCTAAAGTACAAGACTAACAATGTAATTAACCTAGAAAAAAAAGTAAAAGATGGTAATTTTTTTGTTCTATTTAATTAAGAAAATAAGAAGGAAATAAAATTTGGATTTAAAAATATATATAAAAAACTTTTCTTTTTCGGTTTTTGTTTAGTTAGCCCTGAAACTATTGCTGTGGGTTGGTTTGGGAAGTGGGTTGGCTTTTTGACTTTTTCGATTATTTTAGTCTGGGCTAAAAAGTTTGGTTTGGAAAGGACTTTTTGATTTTTTGACTTTTTTGACTTTTTGACTTTTTGGCTTTCTTGACTTTTTTTTTTAGAGAAGAATGTAATTATTATGGGCTAGATGTGATGTTTTGTTTGTTGTGACTAAAATAGCATATTTTGTCTTTTATGGTTAAAATAGCCAAAAAAGCCAACAACCTATCTTCCCGAACGGAGCCACATCAGATTAATATTTTAAAATCTGCAGTGCCAAAGTGCAGATTGTGGCCCATCAAATGTTGCACATTTCTTCCATGATCTGGTCATTGTTACGGTGACCCAAATGCTATAGTAGCAGCCCAATTAACCATCACTAAGTCCATACTTTAAACCACTTTATATCTCAGCCTACCAAAAGCCCAATAATGAGTAGCTATTTGATATTGCTCTTTTTTCAAATTTTTTTTTTTAAATTTTTTTTATGTGCTCAAAAAACTATGTTACCAATTTTTCTTTTTCTTTTTATTTTTCTTTTTTCATTTTTTCATTTTTTCATTTTTTTATTTTTATTTTTATTTTTATATGCTTAAAAAACTAATTTTTAATCTTACTTTTATATGCTTAAATTATAAAGTTGTGAACTTGTGATTATGTTGAATTACTTTTAATTTCAATTCGGAACTTGCTCCACAGTTGAAGGACAGAGTTGAATGTAATAATTTAATAAAAATATGATAGATCAAATTTAGATTTTATTTCAAGGTGCAAATAAAACTTATTGAAACTGTTAAACACAACTAAATAATATTGTGCGAGTAAAAATCTGATCACACTTAAATGGTGATTTGCATCATGATGTTCTCTTTTATTTAACTTATTTTTATGGCACCTTGTATAGTAAATTTGGGCATAGCTCGTGTTATGTTCAATATGAGGCCCATTTTTTGTGTGTTGAAAATAGGGGAAATTATGGATCAGTGAAATAATTATAAATTAATTATACTTTTAATAATTAAAAATATAAAATTTTCAATGTATCTATAATTACTTCTTTAAAAGTATACTGAATTATAATTTTTTCTTCAAAATATCTTTGATTTTACTTTTCAGATTTTATATAAAAAAAATAATGCTCGTGTTAAATATGATCTTGCTGACATTTCTGTCCAAAACCCCGCATTGAAAAGTAATTACAAATTCAATAGGAACGAAGCTATGGATTAATCAAAGTCAACTCACAAGAATTTCCCCCCTGCATTCGTTATTACTCACTACAGGAAATTCGTTTTTTAGCGGCGTTTTAAAAACGCCGCGAAAATCATGAAAAACGCCGTAATATCTTATAGTGACGTGTAAAATTTTCGCCGCTGATACGGCCGCCGCAATAGCTACCCAACGTTTAAAAAACGTCGCTAAAAACATTATACGGCGTTTCCTAAAACGCCGCAAAATCTTTGACAACCGTCTCACCTTTGCTGACTTTTCTGTCCGAAACCCCGCATTGAAAAGTAATTACAAATTCAATCGGAACGAAGCTATGGATTAATCAGAGTCAACCCACAAGAATTTCCCCCCTGCATTCGTTATTACTGGTGCTTTTTTATGGAACTACATCTACATACATCTCTAGCAGAAAATAATAAAGGAAAATGATATCTAAATTTATTTTTTAGATTTAATGATATGTAGCAGAGATAATTTGTTAATGATTAAAGAAGTTAGGAGAAAGAAAAAATTACTATAGATATTTTAATTGATTATCACATTAT